CTCTCTCTCTCTCTCTCTCTCTCTCTCTCTCTCTCTCTCTCTCTCTCCTTATGTACTTTTACTTCATATGTATGTATGTTTTACCTGCATGTATTTAAGTGTATCACACCCGTTATCACACCCGTGTTTGATGCCCTCACAGGCCAGAGAGGGCAATGGATCCCCTAAAACTAGAGTTGTAGACTGATGTGAGCTACCAGGTACATACTTGGAACTGAATCTGGGTGCTCTGAAAGACTAGCAAATTCTCTTAACTATCAAGCCATCTCCTAGCTAGTTTTCTTATACTATCTCAGGATCACAGATCACCTTACCAGGGTAGTATCACCCACAGTGCCTACGTGCATCAATTAACAACCAGCACAGTCCCCACAGGCATGCCCAGCAACCAATTTTATCTAGACAATTCTCTCAGATGACTCCTGTCTATGTCAAGTTGATAATTGAAGCTAGCTGGAAGAGGGAGCGAGGTTCAGGAAGCCTTTGGAGTGGGCAGGAGGAAAGCCTAACCATGGATGAGAGAGGTGGGTGGGAATGCAGGTGCTGGGACTGGACTGAGACTTAGCTTGGAAAATAGGCAGGGAACAACCTAGTACCACCCATCAACCAGGGGCTTCTGGGCTGGTTTGTAGAGATAGTATCACGTTGTCAAAGACACAACATTACAGTGGCCCAACTGAGAAGCTTGTGCCTTGGGTCTTATTTTGGTAACTTCCATAACTCTTCCATAATTCTTCACTTTCTAAGTTTTGGTTGTGAGTCTTGTTAAGGGACACCCTTACCATGGCAACTCTTTTGAAAGAAAATGTTTAATTGGGGTGGCTTACATTTTCAGAGGTTTAGCCCATTAACATCATGGTTTGACACGGTGGCATGCAGGCAACATGGTGCTGGAGAAGTAGCTGAGAGTCCTACATCTTGACTCGCAGGCAACAGGAAGTGGTTTGTATTATGGAGCACGGCTTGAGCATATATGAGCCCTCCAAGCCCTCCTCCACAGTGACATACTCCCTCCAACAAGACCACATCTACCCCACCAAGGCCACGCCTCCTAACAGTGCCACTCTCTTAGGAGATCATTTTCTTTCAAATCACCACACTGGCCTTTAACAGCTGAGCCATCTCTGTTTATCTGCCAAGTTCCTTCCTCCACCTGGAGACTGAGAACTTTGGACACAGCACTGTCTTATTCTCGTCTAGTGTGTAGCATCCAGTGGGTGCCCGCCACATACTAGGTATCTAACAGACTCTTGTTAAGTTTATAAGTCAATGTGGGAGGTGAAAAAGGCCTAGCAAGTTACATCACAGAGGAATGGGTGAGGGAAATCCTGTCCATTATTCTGTCTAAGTCTTTGCACAAACTCACAAATGTGACAGTTGCTCCTCTCCAGAAGGGAGACTGTGAGTCTTGCCTACATAGGACATGTAGAGCTGTAGGAACAAAGCCACCTTCCTGTCATTGGCTCTGTGTCACCTACCGCACTACGTTCTGGAACCAGAGGCCAAGCAGAGGCTCATTCTGTTTTTCCTAACTTTCTTGCTTTTTTCCCTAAATATCTTTTCCCCTCCTATGATCTCTAGCTCATAATCCTATTGCTTCTGCCCCTCTGGAGGGAACCTTTTTTAACTCCAAAGTCAGCATGAGCTATCTTATCAGCACAGAGCAGAGGAAATCTTCAAGCCAAACTCATAAAATAATCCCAGCTCATTCAAAGTGCCTAGGGGGGAGATTGGCAAGGAACAGCAGCACGGGAGCATGGTGGGCAACCGGCGCAGTGCGACTCCCCCAAGGCTGACTTCTGTTACCGCTGCTATACCTATCGCTGCACAATTTCCCTGCCAAACATAGGGTCTCAAAACCGCAACTTACTGGGGTTTCTGTTTTGTTTTAGTTTTTCACTCTGGGTGAGCCCAGCTCATTCTTCTCTGGCCGTGCCCAGAGCTCTCGCCCTTACCAGTCATTTGCCATCTTGATCAGTCTGGGGAGACTAAGATGGCCCATCAGACATCTCCCACTCAATGCCAGCTGACTACAGCCCATGGTCCGCCTTCGCATGACCTCCCACCTTTCGGGAGATTTGACGAGGCCCTTCCCTGCTTGAGGGCTCAGGGCCATTGGAGGGCAGCCTGGGTGGCTGCAAGCCTCTAAAGGGTCAGGCTCTAGAACTGGTGTGACATCGCTTCTCTCACCTCCTATCCGTCAGAGCCACCCAGCAGGCCAGAATCAGGTGAAGTGAAGAAACACGCTCTGCCTCAACTTTGCCTTTCAAAGGGATGTCACTACTATTAAGAGGTGAGGTACATTATTTAACCATCTACCCCAGCCCTCTTACCAACTCTTGCCCCAGAACTTGGAATAACCACCGCAATACATTTTGCTGCAGGTAGATCACTGCATGGCATTTGAGATGATTTTCTGTATGACATTTTAGCAGGCCGTTTTGAACCATGGACTCTTACTGGCAGGCTTTTTTTTTTTTTTGGCATTTTCCCCCCAGAGGCTTCTCTGCCTCCTAACTGTAGCTCATGTCTCTTGGTTGTTTCTCCCCTGGGGCTCCACTGTACCTCGCTTTTCAGCTTGTGAAAGAGCAGCTGAAGACAGGCTTGTGGGACAAAGCCCTTCCTGCTGATGGGAAACGCGGTCTCTGAGTCTCTTTACGACCTGAGTTGTCTCCTTCCAGTTCTGTCCCCTCTGGTTTTATTGCCTTTCTTCTCCTTTCCCCTTGGTTGGACCCAGGCGGTGGGGAGTGGTGTCCTTAGAAGTTTTGCTGGGCACGGGTCCAGGAGGAGAGGAGACAGTTCTCCGTTACAGGGATGTCTTTGTTTGGAAAACCCAGAGCTGACAATTTTATCCCCGAAGGCATCTGTCAAACTTTTCCAGTTTAGCCTGACGTTGATACTGGGCACTGTCCACCCGGAAAGGGTAAGGGAGTTTTGCTGCAGTGCTGCATACATACAGGGTGGCTCTGAGAGTGGACATTAGCCAGGACTTGGTGGCCTGTCAGTAACTCAGGGATTCCATTGGTGTCTTGCTCCAAAGACTGGGTATGAGTCAGCGCTGCCTTTGTCCAAAACCTCTGTTGTACTAGTCCACACTAACTGTGCATGGAAGCCTGTTGTTCCTCGAGCAGTGGGACACACTAGGCAGAAAGACCAAGATGGCTGACAGAAGGCTTCAGATCTGTGTAGGGGCAGGGGCTGGCTCTCCACTGTAGCTCTGTCTGCACACCATTCATTCAGGGAGTCTAGTCACAATAGGACTGGCTCCCAGGGTCTTATGAAGATGAAATGACAGGAAGGGTCTGTCTGACACATAGGAAGTCCCTACGAATAGTAGAGGAGGAAACACTGTGGAAACACGCCAGGCCTACTGATGGCTTTGCCAGTCATCAGCTAAGCCCAGGCTACTCCATATACAATATGCTTATATGTGGTTTTTGCTGCAAAATTTCTCCCTCAGGGAAGCTGTCACAAGGTGCCATGTCCTTTGTTAGGGCAGAAGTATCTCTCTGTCAAGTAGCAGATAGTAAAATTCAGAATTTTATTTGTCTTAGGAGTTATGATGTAGGGCTTCAAGGCCGGTATGAAGAGGGGAGAAGAGAGTGCCCCTGAAGTGTCTTAGATTCTGGAAGAGGGGGACATGAGACTCAGAGAAGGTCAGGGCGGAGGGGTAACCGGCAGGCAAAGGAGGTCGCAGAGGACCTCTGCGGAGGATCTGGTTTCTATTGTGCTCACTGGAGAGGACACGCGCTAGAAGTCTGACTGAGAAAAACAAGCATCTCACAGCCAAAAAGATAACAAGGTGATGTCGGCAGAAAGGAATGGAGATGTGTGTTATCCAGTGTGGCAGAGAATTTGGGAGAACACAGAGCTGGGGAGGGAAAGAGAAGGAGAGAGTGAGAAGGAGGGGGGGGGGGAGAGAGAGAGAGAGAGAGAGAGAGAGAGAGAGAGAGAGAGAACTCCTAATAACTAGGCTGTGTATATTTTAGCTGGTTCTTTTGAATGTAAATAACTCTTCTGTGAAGTTTTTTTGAAAATAATTCCTGATTGCAGCTGCATAATTTAATTAGAGTGGGTGAGGCTTGTGGCTTTTCCCCCTCCCTCAGTCCGTAAGGACAGAAAGGAGAAATCTAGTCTTGAGAAACTTACTTTTGGCAGAGGAGAAAATATCACCAACACATTAAAAAAAAATGATGACAGAAAACTAGTCAAGAGAATATGGCAACACCATATGGGAGGGGTAGAACGGGTCCTGGAAGGCTTTTAAGGGGGAAGGATTGTTGATGGGGATCTAGAGAATAGATTGGAGTCTGTAAGGAGGCAAAACAATCAAGCGGGGGTAGCCTGGGGAGGGGACAGGGTACACAGGGGTTGTTTGGGGCCTAGAAGGAGATAACCAGAGGCATAGCAGGAGAGGAAGCCGGAAGTCATGAGCAAAGGGCCCAAGTGGCAGGAAGCTGCCAAGCACACACCTATCCTAGCTTAATGGAGTGGCCATATTGTAGCGTTACAGGACTAGAGCAAAAGAGACTGAGAGGAACCCGGTTAGGAAGTATTTAAAGAAAATTCAGGAAGAAGAAGTGCCAATCATATGAGCTCAGACATGTACTGGGAGCCAGGAGGAGGGTCTGGGCTCAAGGGATGCCTACAAGGTACACTGGACAGAACTTGGTCACTGGTTTCAGTAAGAAAAGAGTGAGGGACAGGGAGGAACTGAGAGCCCTTTTAATCTATTCTCCAGAGACAAGCAAAGGATGGAAAAACTCAATGGGGAGCCAAATTTAGGGTAGTATCTTGGTCCATGGTACAGTTCAGGGAGTGGTACCAGATACTGGGGTCTACTGGATGATTCTGAACTGGAAACCGTTCTCCGTGGGTCATTAAACCTCTGGTGGTGTTGTCTGGACAGAGAACAGAGGCAGGAGCATCATCCATGCAGGAAGAAGAAGGGGTTGCTTTCTCCCAGTTCACACAGCAATGCCTGGAAGAGGACAGTGAGGAAAGAGGCGCTGACAGCTTTCAGAGATATAGAGAGACAGGTGAAGACTGAGAAGACCCTGCCGGAGCTGCACATGATCACCGCTGGTCCGCTTAGGTCCCGGTCGGAGGGCAGAGTCAGCGAAAGCCGAACATCAAGCGAGAATGGAGAAAAGGCTTTTCAGGAAGTTGCTTAAGAAAGGAACAGATGACAGCTGGAGAAGGGACAGCATGCAGGACAGGCCCAGACGGGGGTCGAGAGACAGAGGAGGTTTATGCAGTGAGATATGACAAGACCAGGGCTCAGCTAGACATCTGGGGGTCCTCTTGTGTTTGGAAAATGCCCATGACATTTTAGATCTTAGTCACACAGTACAGAATAAGGTGCTAGAGCTAGGAGGGGCCATCACAAGCAACCAACCAATCTTCTGTTGTACAGTGGAGTAAACTGAGGCTCAGGTTCAGGAAGGTTCAGAGAAGGGAAGGGGATTCTTGAATCAACCTACATGGCAGAGGCAGGACCGGCGTAGGAATATGCAGCCTGACATCTTTGGATGACCTCTATTGCTCTTGATTCAGCCGCTGGACCAGTTCCCAGGCTCTTTCTGAAGCAGTTCCAAGACTTATCTACACAAAGTACTGCCCAGTGCACAACTCCAGGGGGCACCACTCATACTGTGATCTCTGAATAGTGGTCTCCGGTTTATACAGCATGATGGCCCCAGGGTGAGGGCCTGTCAGGGACTTCACAGAAGCACTCAGTACACATTAAGTCGGGCAGGTTTCAGACTACTGGACTAGGGTATATTTTTCAACTTGGCAGTTGCCTTCCCATTGGGAAATGAGTAGGCAGCTGATGGGATGGAATGCGGCAAGGCCTGAGTGAAGAAACCGCTCAGTCATGCCAGCAGGGGTGTTGGGGGGTGGGAGGCAGGGGGTGGCAAGTGAAGGAGACAGGAATGTTGATGGGCAACCAAGGACGAAATGAAGACTGGGAATCTCCTCGCACACAGCCTGACAGCCTTGACTTTTCTTTCTGTCTATCTTTTTTTTTTCTTCCTGTAGAGGAGTTTTCTTAGACACCATCCTACCCCGTCGAGACGACAATGGCGTCAGGCCAACCATTGGCCAACGCGTGCGGCTCAGTCAGGGAGATATAGCTCAAGCCAGGAAGCTGTACAAGTGCCCAGGTAACTGTGAGCCACAGGGGTTCTGAGCAACACCTAGCATCCCATGCCACACAATGCATGCTGTGTGCAAGCAACACCTTCTCTTGCTGGGAAGCGCCATGGGGAACTGAAGGGACCACTCCTTGGCAGCTGTGGTTTCTGGTGTTTTTGTTAGGGAGTGTGCAGTACAGTGCAGAATGCTGAATTGGAGAGGCACATCCCAGGCTCAGAGCCCATAGCTTGACTATGGGAGGCTTTTGAAGTTCGTCGGCATAGCCCCGAGTGCACAGGAAAGAGGGGAAGTGGAATACAGTACAGTGTGACCCGTTGCTCCGAGAGCCCCTCTTCTTTCTAGGGAACTGGAGAGTGTGAATATGAAAAAGGAAGAGACAAGAGTTTCTGGCAGGAAGACAGAGAGTGAGAGAAAAGCTTTGGGGATGGTAGGGGTCTGGTTCCCAAATGTGACAGTCAGAGCAAGTTTCTGGGCTGTGGCCTCAGGGCTGCATATATGCTGCCTTGCTATATGCTGTTAAACCTGCCATATGCTGTTAAAGACCAGAGACTATCTTGGGGTGGAGCAAAGGCTTATCCTGAGCTAGGGCTGCAGTCCCTTCTCCTTAGACTGGCCCTCTTTGCCTTCATCTCTAGCCTGGTTTCATTTCTGTTGCTGTGATAAAGTACACTGACAAAAAGCCATGTGGGAGAAGAGTTTATTTGGCTTACACAGTCAAGAAGAGAGAGAGAGAGAGAGAAAGAGAGAGAGAGAGAGAGAGAGAGAGAGAGAGAGAATAAATGTGTGGATCCTACATGTTGTCTCATATAACTTTCTTCTGTCTAGTGTAGCTTGGGACTGACCCCCTGCCTCGGCAATGGTGGCACCTACATTGGCCTGGGTCTTCCTGCATCAAATAACAATCAAGGAAGCCTCTTACAAACAAGCCCACAGGGCAACCTGATCTAGATAATTCCTCGTCAGGACGCTCTTCCCAAGTGTTCTGTTTAAACTAACCAGCTTTGGCATCTTTTCATCCCATGCCACCCTGGGGTCAGTGCCCTAAGGCACTTCTAGATCCGTGCAAAGTATCATTTGTGCCACTGGTGGGACAGAATGAACTTCAGGGGTTTGTGGAGGGCAGAAGGAAGTTCCATCGCCAGTGGCTCCGGTAGCCTTTTCCACATTCTTCAAACCAGATGTGTTTTGATCTGTGGTGGAATATTTGAAACTGGGGTTGTCGGAGAAAATCTGGGCTCTGACATTGCCCTGCAGTGCAGGACCATAGGGACTGGAAAAGGTTGTGTAGGCTGCATCCTTATGGAACGAGGAAACATTTTCATCCAGCCCTCAGCCATCTAGGGGGCATGCTAGGACTGAAATTCAGGACACACATATCATATAACCTTCTGAATGTAAAGGGAAACCTTATATCACTCCCTGGGAAATGCCATAGTATTTATTTAGTTACACTGTATATGCTGTTTATTTCCCAAAAGGCTTCCCGGCAGCTGGTAAATATCCCGGAGCACACAGTAATGTATCTAGCCTTGCAGAATGCTGATGATTATTCTGAAATAATTTCCATGGAACCCCCGGGGGTGCTGGCTGCTGGGAGTGAGCCTCACTATGCTTGGCAGTTGTTCTGTAATGTGACACCGAGGCCCTGATAGCTGGGACTTCCTGAGGCAAATGATGGGCAGCTCTCCACATACCCTTCCTGGAGCCCCAAGAGCAGCAGCCGAGGCTCTGAGGGGTCGCTGCAGACTGGGGCTAAGGCGGTCGCCAAGCAGAGACGGGCTCAAGAGCAGGAGAAAATGCTTGAGGATGCTCATTCCCAGCACTTTGTGGGGAGACCCGTGGTGGGGGTCACTCAGCAAGCAACTGCCTTTGCATTTTGGGGGTGTCAGTCCCCAGGGTTCAGGAAATACAAATGTCTTTTGCTCCCAAGCTACTGAAATCCCTCTTTCTTCATTTCTTTTAAGGACAAGTTAGAGAAAGTATTTTTTTTTTCCTCATGCAGGTTCTATATTCTAGACACATTCACTCCTGGGCAACCTTCAGAGATGAGCAGGTCCAAGAGCACACTATAGGCTACCCTCATAGAGCAGCCTGAACCCCTCCCTTTTTCTCTGCCTTTTTGCTTCTTTGGTAGCTCTCTCAGAGGCGAACAGCAAAAAGAAAAGAATTTAAAAGGGGCTCGAGAGAATGTTTTCTTTTGGCTTTCCTGACTTCTGTATTCTCCCTGCTACAGATGTGATTATGAAGGCTCCAGCGTGCCTGGGAAATCTGTAGCTCACTTGTCCAGCATGCCCAAGGTTCTGGGCCCAACCTCTCTCATCGATCAATGAGTAAATCAACTCTACAATCTCAGGAACACTCTGGGTACCAAACCCTGAGAGGACCCGGTCCATGTGATATAGGCAATTTCACTGGCCTTCTGAGTTGGTTCAGCTTTTAGCTGGAGAATTGAGCTCTGAACCCAGATCAAGCCATGTTGAGAGCCTTTGGCAGAAGCCCTTGGTGCCACTTCCTGGCACCAAGATCGACTTTTGCTTGCCCAGGCCATCTACTTGGCTCACTCCTTATCTGTCGTTCACAGGGCCTTGGCTTGGGAATGGCTGTTACCTCACAGGGCAGGGTAGCCCGTCGGGGAGGGAGAGCTTGTGTGTACCTGTACCAGAACTGTTGTTTTGCTTATGCAGCATGTGGGGAGACACTACAGGACACAACAGGAAACTTTTCGGCGCCTGGTTTTCCAAACGGCTACCCCTCCTATTCCCACTGTGTCTGGAGGATCTCTGTCACCCCAGGGGAGAAGGTAGGTGAGGACATTAACTCCCACGATTGGGTCATTGCATGCTGAGCACACACATGGCTATAACACTGCACCCCACAGATGTGAACAGTGAACACCGTTTTTAAAAGATGGGTTGGACCCCCATCAGGAATAGTGTGGGACAGGAAGCCTCAGCCTTTGTATTGGTAATCAAGCAGCTGCTCCGAGTGCCCACCGAGTGCCAGGACTTCGCGCCCCACTCATTGTTTGAGAACCTCTCAGCCAGCCTTACCCACGCAAATGGACACCTGGCATGCACTAAATGTCCATACCGGTCAGACAAAGCCCAATCTGTCCTTGTTCTGGACTAACACACTGTTATAGTACTCTAGAGGGCAAGTTTCCAAGACAAAACTTCTTGAAACCTTGGAGCTGTGCTTTGGTAGGTGGCAACGTGGCCAGCACAGCGGGCTTCCCTTCTCTAGCCCTCCACCTCTGCCTGTGTTGACGTCCCAAGCCACAATCCTGAATACCATTCACTCAGCCTGGCAAGCAGCTGCTCTGTGGCTGGCCTCTGGTAGGCTGGACTGTCCAGATAAGTGTCTGGTCTCAGATCCAGAAAGGAAGCCATGGCATGGCCTCTAAGCAGGCTCAGGGAATACCAAGGCCCTGGTTCCCCAGAAGAAGATGTTGTGGGCTTAGCAAATCCCATAACACAACTTCCATTGTCCCTGAGGATTCCATGGTTCTCTGGAGCTGAGCTTAGGGCCAGGGCATCTTCTCCTTGATCCAAGGTGGATATGTTCTGCTCCACCACCGGGTGCCATTATGTCCATTAGGTGGACAAGGAGTCTGGAGGGAAATTGCCCAATCACATAGTAAAATGTAAAACTGGGTTTTGGACTCTAAAGTTTATCTTTTCTTGAAAGATTTATTTTATTTTTAATTCTGTGTATATGTGCATTGAAGGGTGTGTGTGTGTGTGTGTGTGTGTGTGTGTACAGGTGTGCCCTGGAACTGGAGTTACAGGCAGTTATCAGGCACCCGGCATGTGTGGTGGGAACTGGACTAGGGTTCTCTGCTAGAGTAGTACACATTCCTAACCACTGAGCGATCTCTCCAGTCTTTATCGTTTTCCTGTGTGTTCTACAAATCCACATACTCTTCAAGTTGTCCCAGAACAGATAAATCCCCTTCCCTTGGGTCTAGGTGAGGGGATGGCGCTGTGTTCCCAGATCCCTCTAGAATCACACACGTCACAGCATGTTTCGGTATCATGACTACGGAGGTATTGTCCCACTGATAGCCCTTACGCACACCGAGGACAGAGGTGGTCCACATCATTCCCAGCATCTCACTTTATATGGCCCAGCCACGGCACAGTGAGTGTTTGTGGAATGGTTATGTGGACGTATGCAGGTGAAGTGAAACCTGGGTAGCTAGAGGTGGTGGGATAGGGTAGATATTTTTCAGGTGTCCACGTCAGTCTACAGATTAGATATTCTTAATTTATATCTTTAAGTATGATGTAGCAACCAGAGAGCAATGGCTAGAGTTCACTGAAAGCATTTTTACAGTCCGGATTCTTTCTTCAGTAAGCCATGTAGGACATTTAATCACATCTTCTCATCAACCCAACGAGCTAGATGCTGAGATCCCACTTATCATACAATAGAAAATCGAACTTGCTGAAATTTGATGGAGAGTTGGGCAGTGAACCCACACCCTTGACAGACTAAGAGCCTAGACCATCACCATGTCACACAAAGGAGACACAGTGCACACACATGTCCATTTGCACATACATTCTCACAATTAAGTATTAAGGCAATGCCCGGGATTGGCAGACTGTACAGTGGGTAGGATAGCTCATTGTGCAAACTTGGGGACCTGCGTGCAAGTCTCTAGCACCCCCCAAAAAGAGAAGCATGCTGTGCTTGCTGTAACCCCAGAACTGGGGGACAGAGACAGTCAGATCCTGAGAGCTAGCAAACCTGCATAGCCAAAATGACGAGTTTCTGGCTCAGTGAGAGGTCCTCTGCGTGCATATGCACAGATGTATGCCCTCACACACTTACAGGCATGCACTACCACACACACAAACACAGTGTGGTTGTCATCTCGAACCCAAGACGTAGACCTTTGGCGTGGATATGATTATGCTTGCTAGAGGTGCTAACAGGCTGGAGAGGAGGTCGAAGGCCTGATAATCCCCACGTTGTTGACTTGCTGCACAGCGGGCCTATGTGATATGTTTGAAGCGTGTATCCTTCACTAAGTCTCAATGATTACTGCTCACTGGGGACACAGAATATACATCGTTGGAATTCCTGCAATTATTCCCAGTGCTGCTTCAGTCTGAGCTGCTGCTAATTGGCAATTAGAAAACTTGATGGGTTCCCGTATCACCTTTTGCTCATCACCTCTTCCCCGATGGTCTGTATGGTTCACTAACATCCTTTAAATAATTAGCCTGAATAATTATCCCTCTGAGTTAAGCCATGAATGTGTTTCCAAGGAAGTTTCACTAACACTTCCTCACTGTAATCGTAAAAGAGCAAAGACTAAAGAATTCTCTGGCACCAGCTTATAAGCATTCCTGAACCCCATCAGCTGATCACCAGCCTGATGCAGACCTGAGAAAAACCCAGGGACACCCCGATCTTAAGATATGACTCAGCCTGGGTTCCTCAGTCCCGAAGAGCCTGACAGACATGTCCATGACACTCATGCACCCCATCTTTTATTCTCTGATACTCACTCTTCAGTTCCTAGGGGGCCACTGGGTTCTGGGGAAGAATCTGACCTGGTTGGAAATGGCCCCAGGAAAGGGGTGGGCACTCTCAGTGATGACCAGGATGGGAAAACAGCCTGTGGGGCAGTGGGGTGCCAGCTGTGATATGCCGAGGGCATACTCAGTGTAGTCTGACTTTTACACGCACGTTTATGGAGTACCTGCTGTATGCCTGACGCAGCTCTAGTCCCTCTGTGTGTAGTTTCTCTCACCGACTCCTCCACAACCTGCAGGTGTGCAAATTGTTCTCTGGATGTGGAAAAGGCTCCAGGAAGTCAACTACTTTCTCAAGATTCTAGAGTCAGTGAGGGACAAGGCTGAGATGTGAGCCCAAGCCTGTTTGACTAGAGACACCTCTGAGAGGGAGAGCGAATGGGGGCAGGGACTCCTACAGATCAATGCCAGGGGCTTCTCCTCTGAGCAAGGGCTTAGGAGTGGGCACTTACCTGGACCTGGCGGGTTCTGTAACTTTTAGAGCATTGAGAAAGGACAGAGGCTTGCCTCACGGAGTCTGGAAAATGAGCAGAGCCTAATGTAGGAGATAGGAGCATAGGGATTTCTTTAGGGATTTGCTAAGCGTGGGTTGGGAGCAGTTTGATAAACCTGAGATCTAAGGCTGGAAGACTGACCTAGAAGCTGTAGTTGTGGGTAGTCTGGGACTCGGTGTGACAGTATCCATTAGGAAGGGATATGGAAGAAGAACAGCAGAGAAACACACAATATGTGGTCAGTCACTAAGAATAATGGGATGGATGGATGGATGGATGGAGATGGATGGATGGATGGATGGATGGATGGATGGATGGATGGATGGATGGATGGGTGGATGGATGGTGGGTGGGTGGATGGATGGACGGATGGGTGGATAGGTGAATGAGTGGATAGATGGATGGATGGATGGATGGATGGATGGATGGATGGTGGGTGTGTGGGTGGATGGATGGATGGATGGATGGATGGTGGGTGGGTGGATGAATGAATCGATGGATGGATAGATATATGGGTGGATGGATGGGCTAATTTTAGGAAAGCTTTTGGAGAACATAACACTTCAGAAGAGGTCATGGCTGAGGGGATGTTGATCACTGCCATGCTCACATGCACTTAAGCTAACCCCAGACCCTCCGAATGATTGATGATGTTACAAGATTTTTTCATATTTCTGAACCTCATTGACACCTTACCTCCTTTAAATCCCTAGTCTCAACTCGCCCTGGCCCATCTTTTAATGCATCTTGCTTTCTGTAAACCACCTAGCAACTTCAAAAGCTCAAGTGACTCCCCAGACAGAATAAAGGACCCATCTCCTTCTGTTTACTCCCCATCCTGCCCAAGGTTTATTATTTAATGTCAGGGGGTTTCCTGTGTGTGTGTGTTTTGAGAAGACGCTCCACTGCAGTCTGAGGGCCCTGTATGCTAAGGGGTAACATGAGAACACGGGTATGTAAGATGTGTCCTTCAGAACTCTTCGGGCTTTGCTGTTCAAACCTACTTTATGGTAATTCTTTGCAGATCGTCCTAAATTTCACATCCATGGATCTGTTTAAGAGCCGTCTGTGCTGGTACGATTACGTGGAGGTCCGGGATGGTTACTGGAGAAAGGCCCCGCTGCTGGGTGAGTGAACTTCAGACAGCCATAAGAGAGGAGAGATGGGCTGTTCTCCGGGATGCTCTTACTATCTGGAAGGTTCCATTGTGACAGCCGGCACAGGAAGCTCTCAAGTGCTCTTGTCGTTGTAAAACTCCGAGCACTCCATTTGGCCACACATGTAAAAGGCTTTTAAAAACTGTCAGCACCCTGTGACCCAGCAATTCCACTTCTTGGAATTTCTCCTGGGGAACTAATTAAGGACGTGTGCAAAGCGCTAGCTGCAGGGAGGTTCACTGAAGCGGGCAGAACCAAAGGCAATTTAAACGTCCAACAGTAGGGGTTAGCGGAGTAAACTGTGAGCCATCTTTTCAACAGAAAATTCCCATCCATTAACAATAAAGTTGGAAGCGAGCGTGTCCTGATACAGAGAAATTTCTGGCACCCTGTACCCTGCAGAGAGCGTGTTACAGAATGGAGCAAATAGAATTATTTCAAACATAAATGCGTACATGCAGATGTGTGTAAGGCAGGAATTGCAAAGTAAGCGGCTGTAACAGGCAGAGGTGAACAGAATGGGATCGATATGATAAAGCAAGGAGTCCAACTGTGTTGCTCCCAATTGTTCAAAACTAAGCTATCTAAACCATGTGGGAGCTGAATCCAGCTGCAAGAAATCATTTCATGATTTACAATATAAATCTCCAATAAAGTTAGAAATGTAAATGACTCACAGTAGTTATTTCAGAACGGTAGAGGATTTTTTTTAATGTTTCTATTCCATTCTCGGCTTACTTATCTCTCCCAGGTTTTCTGATGGGCAGGTTTTACTTCTGTGGCATAGACAAGGCTATGGATCCATCCACCAAAGGCAGCGTAGACCTTTGAGCAAAAGGTCACGGGAAAACACTATAAAGAGAAAGTTTCCCCAAAATAGCTTCTCTTTTGATGACCAGGGAGGATTATTGTTTCCTGGAGGACCAGTGGTCTTGGGTCTTGGGACCTCGTGCTGGGACTCACTGGCTTGAGGAAACCAGCTATAAGGGAGCCATGGAGAGAAACAGACCAACAAAGAGTCAGATGAAAGGGTTGCAGACAAGAATAGGGTATCCTGGCTGCTAGAATGGTCTGTAGGATGGCCTCCTGGTCTGGTCAAGTCTAAGGCTTTGATGATGACTTGGTCCCAGCATTCCTTCATCTGTACAGAAAAGCCACACTTACTGCAAGTGATGCACCTGGGAGGAGTCATCACCAGGGTGGTTGGCTGCAGATAGGGATGAGAAGGAAAGCCCTGCTGCTGTGTTATATCCTGGGGGACCAGGATGAGACAGTCACACCAGGCAGCGACAGTCTCTAGGAAACCTGTAGCCTTCTGCATGAGAAATGTCAGCGTCGACTGTCACTAATGGGAATAGCACAGAAACACCTGTAGCTAGTGGAAGGGTGAGTTTAAATCCCCAAGGGCACAAACAAGTGGGGATTTGTCCTCCACAGAGGAGCCAGGGCAGTGTCTGCATGCCATCATTAGGAGAAATCCATCATTGTTGTAAGGAGACCACTTGTTCACTTGTTCATTTTCCGGCTGCGCAGACTGCCGAAATAGCCACACAGAAACTGTGTTAATGAAATCACTGCTTGGCCTACTAGCTCTAACTTTTTATTGGCTAGCTTTTACATCTTAATTTAACCCATTTCCGTTATTTTATATTTTACCACAAGGCTCGTGGCCTACCGGCAAGGTTCTGCCATGTCTTTCTCTGGCAGTGGCTCCATAGCTTCTCCCCTGACTCTGCCTCCCTTCTCCCAGCATTCACTTTAGTTTTCCCCGCCGAGCTCTGTTCTACCCTATCAGGCCAAGCCAGTTTCTTTATTAACTAATGGTACTCACAGCATATGGAAGGGAATGCCACATCACATCATGTAGCTAATAGTCCAGACAAACAAACCAAGTGACTCCAAAAGTATGCACAGGAATGTAGGCATGGACAAGTGAGTATATTGCCCAAGACAGTACTGGGTTCTGTTTTCTGCCTAAAATAAACGGGCATGGAAGTAGCAGTCAGAGAGATAGGTTGCAAGCAGCATTGGTCAGGTGTGCCAAAATGACACGGCGCAGGGCAGGGGGAAGACTCAGTGAGTAAAGTGCTTTTTGCACAAGCATAAGGACCTGGTTTGGATCCCTAGCACTCACATAAACAGCCAGGCACTGTAGCGTGCATCTGTGACTCCAGGTCTCAGAGGCAGTAGGGGATATAGGTGGATCACTGGGACTCACTCCCCAGCCAGTTTAGTGGACTCAGTGAGGTCCAGATTCAGCAAGAGACCCTGTCTCAACTAACAAGGTGGAGAGAGAGTGAGGAGGATACATGATGTTGACCTCTGGTCCCACATGCACCTGGGTACATATGCAATTGCGTTCACATCCACACATGTGTGCAAGCGCTCCTGCGCATGCCTATGCATCTCCTGAGCCCCCAACCTCCCAGTGAGGCTGGATTCCTGGGAGCAGTGGTTTCTAAACCTGTCTGCTCATTGCTACCACTTCCTGAAAACTAACCGGAGCCCACACATATAGGGCCAGAGAATGATCCTATTGGCCTCTTATGCCCTCCTCTCTACTACCAAACACACAGAAAGGATGCTCACTAAGGGATGGAGAGGTTACCTCCAAGAAAGGAAGACGTGGTGGGTAGCTTTATGTTGGGTATTGTACATTTCTTTACTGTTTGGATCGCTTACAACAACGCTTTACAAAAGCTCCGTTGAATACAAGGACCAGAGACCCTTCAGCCTGAAAGATACCTTCAAGTCATTGAGTTCCACACTGCGTGGCCAAGCCCAGATCCTGACATGCACTGAGTGCCTAAGGCCTCAGGGCCAGCTAGTGACTGGAAAAAGGCCACAAGTCCAATATCCTGGTCTGGGGACGGGTGACTGCTAAATATTTGCAGTTCTTCCCTCCCAAGTTGTCAGATGAAATGCACTGTGTGTTGATTATCTGGAAGTTAACCAGGCTTCCTGGAGTCTTGCTTGCCGAGGTTGGCAGCTCTACATCCCCAGGAATGGGTTAGACGAAAGCCACGGGAGGAAAGAGCCAAAGTTTCCCAGGAAGGGCCAGGCACGTTCCAGAGAGTGGACGCAGGCTGGTTTCCAGGTATCCCCTTTGGTTCTGTGGCAAGTGGGAATTTTCCCAGTGGGGATCCTGGTGTCTCTGCTGCATTCTTAGTGCTAGGGCAGGACTTGTGCAGTTTGTCAGTTTATTGGTGGTGGCTTAGGTTGATTTTCCTTGGGAGGCTCATATTTTACCTGACTTGCTCCTCTACCCCCCCTTCTCTGTGTGAGTGCGCACACGCGCTCTCACACACAGCGTTGCAGCTCAGGCGTGGCCGGGTGCCTGGAACCGTCATTCTTCTTCTGCAGGCTCCCTTCTTTGCCAACTATTTGGTCTGCTCTGATGTTTCCAAATGCAGTTGTTAGTGAATTTTTGTGTTTGGAGCAAGTGCATTGTGCCGGCTAAGCTGGTCCCTGGGAGGGGTCAGTGCCATGAAATCTGCTGGGAGGAGGCAGGTCAATGCCCCTTTGGCAGGAGGGAGAGCGGATTAGGGCGGATTGTAAAGTAGGCATCTTGCTCTGCATCACATTTTTTTCCCAGGGCAGTGTGTGAAAATCCAGGCATAATGCGTGCATAACTTTTTATGAATGGACCCTTTATGACTCCCCACAGAGCCCACTTGGAGCGTCCTCATCTGCATTTCCTCTTCTTGATATCCTTATTAAACGCCTCTAAACCTAGGAACCAGATTTCAGGCTAGGAGCTGACACTTCTCCATGCCAGTATCTCGACAGCCTACCCAGCCTCTTCGGAGGGAGGCTGTTTGCGACCCGGTTTCTCACTTACTGGTTTCAAAGAAAATTAAGTAGATGAGAATTTTTCACAGCTGGTTAAAGATCACAGAGGGGTTTTCCGTTCCAGGGGTCACTTATCTTTAACAGGGGGTGGGGATGGGAGTTCAGGGGCGATGCCCACAGAGGAGCTAGTTGGTAATCTTAAGCACTGTCCCGCAATGTGGATGCCCCTTCCATGTTACCATTAAAGGAATCTCTTCAAGCATTATACTCTGTCCGCAGAACTACCTCAGCATTCGGTGTCACCATAACACACACAAAGACCCTTATCCCATTTCCTGGAGACAGGGAAGGGAGTTCGGAAAGGCCAGGCCGGTACATCGAAGTCGCGTGGCCCCACTCCTGAGGCCTCCTGGGCAAGGGCAGTTTCCCAAATGAACAGAAGTGATGGTGTGAGGCCAGCAGCCAAGCTTGGCACTGGAACAGACATGCCCTGTGCTCTGAGGTCTTGATCTTCATTTGTGCCTGTTCTATTCTGAGCCGAGACATGAACACGGCCCTTCCATTCTCAGGAAACACGTTTGGTGTCTTATCCGAAATTGCACAATGTTCAGATTTACACCCAAGTTCCTTTTGATGGTGAGGGTGATGAAGGGGGTGGTGACAATGGAAACTGGATCTCAAACTGCCAAACTTCAAATATTGCCTCCACTTCCTGCTTTGGAGACAAATACTCTCATCCTCACCTTGCTCATCTGTGAAGTGGGGACAACAGCAGTACCTAATTCAGAGACGAGCAGGGTGTCATGTTTCTCTCACTGTGACAAAAGAGCTGAGGGAGAAAAGGTTTATCGAGCTCACGGGTCAGTCCATAGTCACATGACCCAAGTGCTTTTAATTTGATGACAAGGCCAGACATACCTGGCAGGAAAAACCGCTGCTCACTTCATGGCGATGGGTGGGGGTGTGGGGACAAGAGAATATATTCATTGAGTGCATACCCTCGCTGACCTAGTTCCTCCCACCTCCAAATAGCCTTTAATCTACGAATCTATCAATGATTAGTCCATTGATAAGGTCAGACCGCATGATGTGGCAAGTTCCCCCAAACCCCACATCTGATCACTTGGGTCCAAACTTTCAACTCAAGAGCTTTTGGGTTACATTTAAGGTTCAAATAATCACAAGTGGGGATGAAATGAGAGTCCCTGTCAAGAGCTTCAGACTGGGTCCTGCACAGGCATGGTCAGTGGCTGGGGGGCTGGGGGCTTCCACCCCCTTACAACTCCTGGGATGGCAAGGGAAAGGCTGAGATGTCAGCTAAGAATTGCAGAGATTTGGAAGATTCCCTGAGGCGGAGCAATATACCTGCCTGGGCCAGGCTGGGGCAGGGCATCCTGCAGCAGGTGTGGTAGAGGGCTCTCCTCTGTAATTGGTCCTCAGAGGCTGTGCCAGCTGGGGTTCTAAAGGAGAGACTTATGTGGGAACTTGGGCTAGATGAAGGTGCCCCGCTTAGGGCTGCTGGGTCTGACTGCTCACTGCTCTTCCTGCTGAAGGGTGGCCCTCCCTCACGTTTACCTGTTGTCTCCCCGAAACGCATCACAATAATTGGCCATACCAGATGCCGTTACCCAAAGCTGATCGGCCTTTAGTATGTTATTTCTTTGTGTGTGTGTGTGTGTGTGTGTGTGTGTGTGTGTGTGTGTGCGTGCGCACGTGCGTGCGCACAAGCACACACATATGTACATTTGTATGTGCATGGATGAACATGTATTCAGCAGCATGTATGCATATGTAGGCCAGACTACATTGGGTGCCATTCTTCAGATACCACCCACCTTTAGCCTTTCTAGCCAAGGAGACTCCTCCTCCCCAGTGTTAGGATTACAAGCATGCACCACCATGCTTGACTGCCTTATATGGCTTCTGGGGCTCAAGTTCAAATCCTCATTCTCTCACAGCAAGCACTTCACTAACTGAGCCGTTTCCCCAGCCCTTCTAATGTGTTTTTCCTTGCCAAAGTCTTGGTGAAATATTTATTGCATTGAATATGAAGACCACCAAACCTAAATGGCTGGCGGCAGCGGGAACCAGGAGGGCGCAGAGTCTACTGGGAGCCTCTGCACTGTTTCTTCTCCAAGAGCGTAAACTAGAGCTGACCATTTGTGGCACTAATTCTTCCCCAGCCTTGTGCTTTTCCACTTTTCTCAGGTGAATAAAGCATAATTACTGTCCAGGGCCTTGTCCAGGGCTTTACATGATGCTAAGTGTTAAAGTGCCCACTTTTTTTTTTTTAATTGAGAACTGGTCACGATGATATGTGCAATTCCAGCACTTGAGAGGCTGAGTCAGGAGGGTCCATTAAGTTTGAGGCTAACCTGGGCTACTTAGTGACTTCAGTACCAGCCTGGGCTACACAGTGAAACTTTGGGCTTGAGATGTAGTTCCCCTTTTGCCCCAAGTTGAAGCCACTTAGGTGATGCTGAAGTCTACACCTTTCTGCAAGCCTGGGAGACACTCTAGGGCTCCCCAAGGCCTCTGAACTGTGGGAAAGTGACCTCCACACCCTCTCAGCAACCTGTAGTCACAATGTTGTGTCACACCAGGACTGACATGGAGAACTTGACATGGCTGTGTCAGGGCAAAGGTCTAGACAAGGTGTGTATACAATTTCTTAGTGAACCTAGAAAGAACAAGGGCTCTGGGTCACGTACCCTGCTGGGCTATGTCAAGGGACCCATTTTCTGTTCTCCCAGATCCTATGTCTCCTTCTGGTCTTTATCATCCTATTCTGGCCATCAGTTAGCTTGGGGGAGGGGACAAGGAGTCAGTCCTCATGGGGCTCCATGCTCTCCCTCTGAAGTTCTTCATCCCAGGCTCCCTCTCTGGGTGTCTCCGAGCCGGCAGACTGGGAAGCCCATTTTTCTTCGACCCTACAGCTTCGGTGTCACACTTGGTCCTGAGCAATTCCGTGCTAAGAGACCTTGGCTTCTGGTGCTTTGTTTCTTGGTCTTTGGCCCCATTTCCAAGGCAAGGGCAGAAGAACGTCCAGGGCCCCAAAGGGAAGGATGTGGGTGTCATCAGAAAGATACAGCAACAATAGCTCAGCACCACCCCCCTGTCCCCAAGAGCCACCACAGGGCCCTGAGGCAGGGAAGCACACCTGTCACTTCCCTGAACTCTGCCTGGAATCCGGACCTGTCCTTCATGGGTGCACAGATGTGCCCTTCGGGGCCCGTCTGCAGCCCCGTGTGTACTGCAGAATCAGCTGTCACTTCAAGGGCTGTTGCTCACTTCCTGTCTTTCCTTCAGACTGTGGTAAGGTGAGCTCCATGTCCACAGTGTCCTGACTGTCCTTTTCCTTTCCAGGGAGGTTTTGCGGCGATAAGGTACCCGAGTCCCTCGTCTCCTCAGACAGCCGGCTGTGGGTGGAATTCCGGAGCAGCAGCAGCATCCTGGGCAAGGGCTTCTTTGCGGTATATGAAGGTTTGTTCTTGCTGGAACAGGTGGGCCGGTGGCCACCGACAAGAGTCTCTCATTCTATCAGCCTGATTCCTTCCCAGGTGTAGCAGGCAACTTGCCAGAGGGTCAGGTTCTCATCACAGGGTCTGGGCTGAGGACATAACACTGCCTCTGTTACACTGGACAGGCGAAGGTCAGGTGTGCAGAGCTTAACTCTGTCACAGGCCCCCTGAGCTCTCTTCTCAACCCGGCTGGGGTGTGGAAGGTGCAGGGAACAGGGTCCTGTAGAGGCGGCAGTAGCATCTGACGGCCCATGGGAGCTCAAGCAGAGGGGACCTTACCTCTCTGGGTTCTTGTTTCATTCGTGAAAAGAAAACCTGTTTCTACCCGGAGGTCCCTTTTGGTGTATGGAAAAGGCTGTAAAATCACCCCGAGGGCTACTTCTGTGTTTTACTCTCCCGTCTCGCAAAGGAATGGAACTAAAAAGTGGCAAATTCCCCTTTGCCTTGAATCATTGAAAATTTGGAGAAACCAAAATTTTATTTCATAGAAGGAATAGTGAGCATATCTGCATGTGTCCATGTGTGTCTGCGTGCACAAAAGTGTGTGCAAGCCCATGTGTTCTCTGCAGCACCTTCTTCTCCAGGCCCACCTGTGTGAGACTCCAAGGGCGTGGTCAGGCTCCTACAGTTGGAATGAGCCCCCCCCCCCGACATGATTTTGATGTGCACAGAGGGTGCTACATGGCTGTCCAGAGTTTCAACTCTCCTGCCACGAAAGCTGGCTTTGTTAGACCCAGATGAAAACGCTGGCTCTTGGAGCCACCTAGTGGCAATAAATAGCCACTCACCTGTATTTATGAGATGTGACCCTGACTGACTCTCTTTTTCATATGTTCTTTCTAAAGCCGTGTGTGGGGGAGACATTACCAAAGATGCCGGCCAAATCCAGTCTCCCAACTACCCTGACGACTACAGACCTTCCAAGGAATGTGTGTGGAGGATCACAGTGGCGGACGGCTTCCATGTGGGTCTTACCTTCCAATCCTTTGAGGTGAGCCCTGCTGGGATGTTTTCCTCAGAGGGTGTGAGCTAACGCCTGCTCTATGATGCTCTACTCGATAAAGATGGCTTCTTATCGCTCCTCAGAGATGCTGAAATGGCAGCACTCAGGAGGCTAAGGCAGGAGGAATGTGAGTTCTAGGGATGGCTGGACTACATAGTGAGGCTTTGTCTCAACCGAAACAAATAAACAAATAGACACAGGATTGGGGGTCAGGTCTGGGGAGATAGCTCAGTCAGTGAAGTGTTTTCTTGAGTTGCAGGCGTGGGGCCCTGAGTTGGATCCCAAATGCCCGTTTAAAAAAGCCAAGCATGATGCTCCCTTGTTATCCAGAATGCAGGCAGAACCCTGGGGCTTGCCCAGCTCATGTGCTGCAGGCTGCTTGGAAACCCTGTCTCAGAAACAGAGTAGGAGGCTTCTGGTACCTGTGGCCTACACACACGTGCATGCACGCACACACACGCATACACTCATGCACACACACATGCACACACACTCACTTACACATTCTCTCTGTCACACACACATACACACACACACACATACTCACTCTCACATCTAGAAAGAGACACATTTCCACTTTTGGTTAAGAATAGGAAGCTAGAAGCCCATTGCAAGCCCACCTCCCCTGCTTCTCTTACCCCCTCTCCAGTTTGATCCACCCTGACGGTGACAACAGGGACAGCTGCTTCGTTAGACTTGAGAGTGATGATTAGGTTTTGATTCTGCATTAAAAATGATATTGATGCCGGGCCAGCCAGTGTCATCAACGTGGCCTCTGTCTTTCTCTTTAGATTGAAAGGCACAACAGCTGTGCCTATGACTATCTGGAAATCCGCGACGGTCCCACAGAGGAGAGCGCCCTGATTGGCCACTTCTGTGGCTACGAGAAGCCAGAAGCTGTCAAATCCAGTGCCAACCGACTGTGGGTGAAGTTTGTGTCCGACGGTTCCATCAATAAAGCAGGCTTTGCAGCCAATTTCTTCAAGGGTATGGCTTAGCAGTTTGCTTCTCTGTTCATTCACAGGCAGAAATATTGTTCTCTGAGAGTAAGAATCCCAAAATGATACGAGGCCTTTCCTAAGGCTCCGATAGGGAGGAGATTGCTCGCTCAGAACTGCTAGTAGGGCCCTGTGGGGTTCATCCCTGTGAGGAGCGGCCTCCACTTGACTTCTGCATGATTTCTATTCAGGAAAATGAGAGTTAGTGATCTTGAAGTGTATGTGTGTGTTTGTGTGTGTGTGTGATAGCATGGTGACGTGCCTATAGATACATGTATTGTGTTGGGGTGCATGTGATGCCTGAGGCTGACATTAGGAGTCCTTCAGATCAATTTCTACCTTCTCCTTTGAAGCAGGGTCGCTCTTGTTACCTAACCTCACTAGGCAGCTTGCTCCGGGGACCTTCTGCCGTTGGTGTTGGAATTACAAGCAGACTGCCATACACACCTGACACTTATGTGGGCGTTGGGGATTTGAACTCAGATCCTCACACTTACCTAGCAAACACTTTACCTACTGAACACAGCCTCCAAGACCTAGTGATTTCACCAGGTCAAACAGACTTAGTGAAACCTGTCTGACTTCCGATTCTAGACCTTCTACAACCTTGCCTGGCACTCCTTGGTGTGGGCCAGAAAGACAACCCAGGTCTTCCATTCCTGAGGGATTGGATCCCACCCTCCATGCTTGTCCCCAAGGGAGGGGGTAGGAGGAGAGCAAGGGAACAAATTTCCTTGATGGACCCAGACCCAGACCCTAAAGGCAGACCCAACACAGGAAAGAGCTTCCATGTTTCCTCTGAGGGGACAATCAGGATGCATGCCACCCTTACGAAGGACAGAGAAGTATTTTCCAGGTCTGGTCTACTGTGACTGGGTGCCAGGAGCATGCCAGCAGCCCTTGGGAAAGATAGAGGGTCCCTGGAGCTCCTTCTTCATGGCTCCCTCCTTATGGAACTCCTTGGTGTCCAGCCACCATGCCCACTTCAGGGGGGCTGTGCCCCGTGTTCCTTCCTCTTTTATGTCTCTTGGCTGTGGCAGGCAGAAACCCCAATCCTTCTCTCCAGCCCCAGCTTCCTTGTGCCTCCTTTTTTGTTTTACTATTTTAGTTTTGGAGCGAGGGTATTATACTCTAATCCAGGCTGGCCTGTAGCTCACTCGATTCATGGTCATTCCTCTGCCTCAGCTTCCGTGTGCTCAGATGGCAGATGTGAGCCACTGTACCGGCCCCTGCCTCTCCTTAGACACATTTCCTAGGTTCTCCATAAAGGGGTGACTGTGAGAAGAGCTGACTTCCAGACATAAGGCAGCCTCATTTCCTCACTGAAGCCTCAGTTTCCCCTTGTAGTACAGAGAGTAGAAAATCTGTTGAGTTGTAAAGTTCCAACGAAATGATGTCTTGGAGAGACACTTTGCAAGCTGTTGGGTCCCCAGTGAGATGCGGGGTTATTGTTCTTCCCTTTGGGACATGCAGGGAAAATCAAGAGACAGAGTGAAAACCTTAGCGCCCTGCTTCCTTTGACCAGGGAGGCCGCAGTAGGATGCTCCAGAGCACACTGTCTGACTCTTGTGTCTTTGCCAGGGGGAGGGACCTGGAAGCATAAGCACAGCCTTGGCAGAGCCGGGGTGAGCCAGAGAACCTCGTGCCTTGATGCCAGTTGGCTTTGCCTTTGCCTGGGGCCCAGCTGGCCCGTAACACTGGCCAGGGTGCCAGCTGGCCTCAGCACTGATCTCCTGGTGCCAGATGGCAGCTCCTCAGAGCCAATTGGCTAGGCAGCAGGCAGAGCCTTACACGTCTGCTTACCCTAAGAGAGGATGGTGGCATTCAGGGCTTGGCTGGTCCCACAGCCCTGCACAAGGGGTGTGAAATCCCACTTGAAACCCTACACACTGGCATTCCAGTGCAGAGGGACCATACGGGATGTAGGGTTGTGGTGGAGGCTTTCTTCTAGGTATTTCTTCAAAGTCCTGGGGTGTGCTTGAACTTCCCTTTTCTTACCTCTCTCTGAACTAATTTGAACATCTGGTCTGGGCCTCATTATTGAGCCGCAGAATGGCGCCTTCTTTTCTTATGTACCTAGGGGATAAAAAGAAGCCAGAACTCTTGTTCCAGCCAATCTACCCGCTTGCTCTCAGATCTCCTCTGAAGGTGTGCACTGTGTGGAGCGAGCATGAGCCAGTGGGTTTGGCACAGGTGATGCTTGGCGGCGCTGTGGAGGCCATGCAGCCAGCCAGACCCTGGCAAGAATTGTGCCCCCTTGCTTGCCACTTACCCATGCTGGCACAGTGCTGCAGACCACAACACAGCCCACTGCCCTTGCAGTTTTTCTCAATCTCCCTGGCTTACATGTTACCCTTTTGTCTCTGCATGAGGTGCTTTTTTTTGCTTTAAGTCCATCTCACCAGCTTCTTTCTCTCCCTCCACCTAGCAACAGCTATGCTAAGAATAGTGATCCCCTTTCTTGCCTCTGTGCCCACAACCACCACATCCCCTGGCATCAGAGCCTCCCCTCCCCTCCCCTTGAGTTTTTACTTATCTTTGTCTTTTCTTATGGGATCTTTTCTAAGTTTCCTCTGCTTTCTGGTCAGTTTCTTGAACCTCCTGCCCTCCTCCTGACCACAAGTTCCTCCTTCACTGGCTCATCTTTTGATTTTCAAGCCCCTCCCCCAGTTTTTTTAAACTCTTTGCTCTTTGGGGGGGGGGGACAGGGCTGCCATATTAGCTTGGCTTGTTTCTAGTCAGTGTTTCTTAACTAAAATGATCTCGTCTACCTTTAGCCTCTGGGCTTTTATCTTTCTCTACTCTATAGTTATTTCTTATTTCTTACTCCACGGCTTTCTGTGTAGCTGGGCAGCTGGCCCCTGGTGTCCTCTCGCATCCTCTTCCCTTTCTTGCTCCTCCCTCTTCTCTTTTTCACCTTCTGTTTATTCTCTGTGCCTGGCAGACCTGCCCATTTTTCTCTCCTGCATGACTATTGGTTGGTCAGCTCTTTATTAAACTATCAGGTGTTTTAGACAGGCAAAGTAACACAGCTTCACCTAGTTAAATGAATGCAACGTAAAAGAATGCAACATATCTTTCATCATTAAACAAATGTTCCACAGCACAAACAAATATAATACATCTTCAACTAATATTCCACAACATTTCCCTTCTCCTACGCTTACCCTTTGCCTCTCCTCGGTTGAAGGAGGCCGCTAGCTTAGCTCTGAAATAATCACACAGGAACTGTATTGTTTAAATCACTGCTTGGCCCATTAGCTCTCGCATCTTATTGGCTAACTCTTACATATTAATTTAACCCGTTTCTATTAACTGTGTATCACCACGTGGCTTTGATTTACTGACTAAAGTTCCAGCATCTGTCTCTGGCAGGTCTACATGGCTTCTCCTTCACTCCACCTCCTTTCTCCCAGCATTCTGTTTAGTTTTCCCCACCTAGCTCTGTTCCCCTATAGCTCTGCTATAGGTCCAAAGCAGTTCCTTTATTAACCAATGATATTCACAGCATACAGAGGAGAATCCCACCTCACTCCTCCTGCCCACTGTACTTCTGCCTGGCATGGATGGGCCATGCTGCTTTCTCCTCCTGCTGTCCCTGTCATTACCTTTCCGTCTGCTGGAATAGCAGAAACTGCCTCAGAGCTTGGAAGTGACCACCTGCACACCGACTATGCACCAGTTCTTCACGGGCATAATTTTTGACCACCACAAAAGCCAAGGCCATTCTTGTCATTTTCAAACAAGAGGGAAGTTCAGAGAAACTAAACAAGCATCGTCCAAGTCCATGTGATTGGATCCAATCCGACCCAGCTCACCTGAAAGCCCAGGCTCCTCTATTGCTATGTATTATCTCATATATTTTCATCTTAGTAAAAAATTTCGGCAGATGTTTAAGAAAGCGCTTTGTATATTTCAACGCATGAGAAAATACTTACTTGAACACTGTTTCAGCATGTGTAGTACTACCTTTATTAATGGCCATGGACAATTTCGCCTCCCTGCATGTATCATCTCTAGGTGCCCAATGGTCAACTCACTTCAGTCTTTGTTGACTTGTAGCATGAGGGCTGGCTTGTTGGGGTATCTGTTCCCACCAAGTACCCCACAGCCGGCAAGTCCCAGAGAAAATCAATCACACAGAGATCTCTATAAGTTATAAAGCTGATTGACCCATTAGGTCAGGCTACTTATTAGTTCTTATAACTTATGTTACCCTATTATCCTTATCTACGTTAGCCATATGGCTCAGTACCTTTTCCAGTGGGGCAGCTTACATCTTTCCTCTCCAGTGGTCTGGGCAGAACTTGGGAGGGAGCTTCCTGCTTTCCAGAATACTCCCAGTCTCTTTGCTCCACCTCTACTTCCTGTCTGGCTTTCCCGCCTATACTGCCTGCCTGGCCAATCAGTGTTTTATTAAAATATGATTGACAGAATACAGACAATTCTCCCACACCATTGACTCACCTAATACTCAGAGTTACTCTGTAAAATCACCACTGAGCAAAATGCTGGGGTTCTGACAACTAGATGCCCCCATTTCCTTGATCAGGATCCCATCTTTGACTGTAGCTGCTGCGTATGAGTGTCTAGTGTAGACACGGGATTTTAGGAGATGTCCACTGGGAGTAGCTCTTGTCATAGTCATGTACCTGGAACCCTAGGATATGGAGGGGAGGATATGTATCGTGCGTCTTGGTGTCAATCAGCCCTGTCACTTTCCCTCCCCACAGAGGTGGATGAGTGTTCCTGGCCAGACCATGGTGGGTGTGAGCAACGCTGTGTGAACACACTCGGCAGTTACACATGTGCCTGTGACCCTGGCTACGAGCTGGCTGCTGACAAGAAGGCATGTGAAGGTTGGTGGTGCTGGACCTGTCAAGCTGAAATTCCAAAGATGGGAGACAGGTTTTAGGAGAAGTGAAGACAGCAATGAGCAGGTGGCTGACTATGAAGTAATAGTGTTCAGGAGAGCCGCTTATTTTTCCGAGGCAGAAACAAACAGGGATTGTCATAAATGTTACAGGTTCCAGCCATCCTTCAAACCACGAGACAGAGGCTGTTGCCCACTGTGAGTGCGTACAATTCGCGTGGTTGTCATGGCAAAACCATATGAAGCTATGAGTGTTCTGTCAGGACTCAGTTGACAGCCCCTCACCTCTCTTTCCCCTGTGGCCTGGGCTCAGCCCACCTACCCACCTCTATGAATCCACTCGCTCACACAAGCTAGGCACAGTGAATAACTAGATACAGCTATCTCTAACTCTCCTTTGGTACAAGACCTGTGGAACCCCCGACAGGGCTGCTATACGACAGGTCAAGTGTTCCGTCATTACTTTCAAAGCAGTAGCTGTGTCCCTAGCTTGTTCCTCCAAAGCCTCAGTGGAAACCATTCATCTAGAGAAAAAGAATCTGCGTCAGTTCAGATTATCTGACTTTTTCCTGATTATTAAGGGACAGAAGGTCTTCCTGATGCTTGGGGGAAATCTCAGTCACTTGGAACCCAACACAGATGGATCTGAAGTCTGTTTTCCTCCGTGCAGTGGCCTGTGGCGGATTCCTCACCAAGCTGAATGGCACCATCACCAGCCCCGGGTGGCCGAAGGAGTACCCCACAAACAAGAACTGTGTCTGGCAGGTGGTGGCTCCCACGCAGTACCGCATCTCCCTGCAGTTTGAAGCCTTTGAGCTGGAAGGCAATGACGTAGGTTCCTGCCCTGTAACCCGTGGGGTGGTGGCCGTGTTGAGAAGGGATTCAGAGCTAGGATGGGATCCTCGGGCATCAGGGTGGCCTGGGCGAGACTGCTGCTTCTGGTGGGGTCCTGGGGTGTAGACTAGACAGAGTTGGGGGTTGTGGAGAAGGATTGGGGTTTCACCGAATCTCTTTAGCTCTACGTCCTCTTCACTGTCTAGGAAATGGGGTCAAGAGTGAAGGAGGCAGGAGTTGGGGCAGGTTCAAACTCTAAGGTGTAGCTCTGGGGACTAGTGTCCAGCTGAGGGCCAGCAGCAGACAAGGATATTATAAACAACCTGTCCCTATCTCTTAGAAGTAGGTATGGATGATCAAGTCAGAAGAGGTCTCGGCAGTATCCCACAGCCAGAGTGGTGACAGAGACACCCTGTGCCTGTACCTGGGAATAGGATGAGCCCCTGGGGCTACCCGTGCTCCTCCATGTACCTCTGCCACAGCCCAGCTGAGGCTGTCACCTTAACAACAGCAGCAACCTAGCTCTTACCAGCTCCATCACCCTTTAGGGAACCAAGAGAGACTTCCATATCCAAAATCGCAATGCGGGAAGCTCAAGAGATGGCTTGGCAGTTAGGAGTGAGCCCTGCGCTTACAGAGGACCCAAGTGCCATTCCCAACTCCTTTGTTGGGTGGCTCGCAACTGCATGTAACTCTCCTGACCTTCATGGCCACCCGCGCTCACATGCACGAATCCTCACACACACACACACACACACCTAAAAACAGAACACATCTTTAAAAATCAAACAAAACCGACCCAACAGGAAACCCCAATGTGTGGAAGACTCTGGTGTCAAGCAGGGATAGGCTCCTCAAAATGGGTATTTTGCAGAAAACCAACCAACCAACCAACCAACCAACCAACCAACCAAGCAAGCAAGCAAACAAAAAACAGTCATTTGAAAGTAACTGACCGGCCATTCAGCATTTAAGCTATTTTCAGAGAAAATTCTGTGCTAATTGAGGTAACGTAGATTCTAGCCCCAGCTCCACCATTGCTGAGCCGAGTGACATCTGACAAATTCTTTCCCCCTCTGGGCATCAGTCTGTCCACGTGAAACTATGATGGACTTGGACTGTGGCCATGGTTTGAAGACATCCCCCCCCACACACTGCTCCCTCCTCATTTGCCGTCTCCTAATTGCTGAAGCCCATGCCTTGTGGTAGCCCAAGATATAAATAAGCATATGTCAGTAAGGATCTTATATTCTGCTGCAAGGCAGCTGTGCCTCACAGAGCCCCGGCTGGAAAGCCGGAGTCCTTGTCACCCTCTGGCACTCACCAGCATAGAGACAATGCACAAGACTCAGCTCCAGAACTGTTGGAGCCCATGTGCCCACGGGGAAGGGCATAGTTCTGGAATGGAGACTCTGGAATGGAGACCCATGAGCATGAGCAGGAGGACTTAGGAAGGGAAGAGGGGGAGGGAGGACTGTACTGGGCTGTCAGGTTGCTTTCTGATACCTCCAGATGGAGTCTTAGTTGTCTCCATGGAACACAAGGGGGAGGCTACAACTAAAGCACTCTGGGACATCACAACTGTGGTGGCAGTGGCACAGAGGGAGGGATGACATCGGTGCCCCCGACGCACATATATGAAGTAACTGAGGGACAGCACGCTGCCCTGGCCCATGTTCCCTCACAGATCTGTAAGTATGACTTCGTAGAGGTGCGCAGTGGCCTGTCCCCGGACGCCAAGCTTCACGGCAAGTTCTGTGGCTCCGAGACGCCCGAGGTCATCACCTCGCAGAGCAACAACATGCGTGTGGAGTTCAAGTCCGACAACACGGTCTCCAAGCGAGGCTTCAGGGCCCACTTCTTCTCAGGCAGGTGGGGCGGGCCTGCAGAGGCCCGAAGGCTCCCGGACCCTCAGTTCCTGCAGCCTCCTCCCTACCTTCTCCAACTTCTTTTTCATCCTTCATCGTGATAGTAGCTTTTATGGTGGTGGCCCAGTTTATCTCCTGGGGACACCCCAACAAATTGCCACATGCCAAGTGTGGCTTAAAACAAAAAAAAAATTATTCTCCTTAAGATCTATGAGCCACAAATCAGAATTCAAGGTCACCACAAAGCATGTAGTGGGTCCTGCTGGTCACATCACACTGGAGTGTGAACCTGTTTGGGTCACTCTCTTGTGCTCAGCATTGAAGCAGGCCCGTTATTTGCTGGCTTTATGGGTACTCAGAGCTCTGTCTTTGACTTTTGGGGAGGAGGTCTCTCACTGAGCAAGGTCTGTTTTGTGTTATGGGCACAGCACAGACCTGAGCTCAGAGGTTGCCTGGATGGCATCCATTGCATAAGCTTGCCCTGAATGGAGGGGCCAGAAAGACAACAACCCAGTAAGTCCTGGTGTAGGGCAGGCTGACAAGGGCTGATACTTGGAGCAGAGGGAGCCTGAGGCTGCGAGCACAGGCTCTCTGCCTGATGTTTGTGATCTGGGCCAGATCTGAAGTGCTGAGGGGAGATGGTACAACTGGAAAGAAAGTGACTAAGGTCTAGGAAAGAGGGGGTGTCACGGGCTTGGATTCGAGGGTCTCAGTGTTCACAAAGACTGATAAGAATGGACTGGCAGGAGCCATGGTCATCTGGGAAGCCACAGGTGGGTCACATTAGGCAGGCTTGGTCATAATGAGCCATGAATGCGGGATGAAGAGTGGGATCCAGTGAGACGGGATGAAGAGTCTCTGTGGGTTCTGAGCAGGGAGGCCTACAAATGCTACATGATCAAACCAGGCCAGGCAGGCTGGAGCTGAGAGGGCCACTATTCTCCTCAAGGGAGGGTGTGCAAGGCCCGAATGAGAGGTACAGTTCCATGGTTACACACAGAACTCAGAAACAGAGGAGCTAGGTCTTAGGGGGGGTGAGGACTCATGAGTGTTGGCAGGAGTACTTAGGATGGGAGAGGGAGGGGAGTGTACTGGACTGGACTGCGGCCGGTGGTTTGCACTCTAAGAGCTTTGGATGGGGTTTTGGTTGATCCCATGAATCCAAGGGTGAAGTTACAATGTGAGCTGTTCTAGAATACCACAGCTATAATAGCAAAAGAGTACAGAGGAAAGGCCAGCACCAATAATCCCTGAGGCATGTATAGAGTGGGGTAGAGGCAGGGGTGGGGTGGGGTGGAGGTAGATCCCCCATGGAAAGGTCCCCACCAGCCAGAGCCTCAGGACCCCAGAATAAGATCCAACAGTAAGGGTCACAAGTAATTATAATAACCAACACTTCCTAGGGGCAAGACATTCTCCCGAAGGCTTTCCCCGATTCCCATTCGTTTTTCCCTCCAGCAACCTGAGGAGGTCAGAGACAACTGAGGCACAGCCTCAAGCACTGTCCTGATGAAGTGAAGTGGGCAGCACCCACCAGGGGGCTCCTGGCCCACACACTTACCTCTCCCCACACAGGGAACAGCATGTGTCCAGACCTCCAGATCATAATAATCTTCTTGCTGAATGATGGGGCCTATGATCGACCTTGGACTGTTTCTTTGCAAGTAAACTGGGGAGGGGGTGTACAGATAAGCCCTTCTAAGCCTGAGTAGGAATTAACTTAGATAACAAGAACATATAGGACATGCCAAAGACCCATTCAGTGGTTAATGTTCATTGTATGTTGGTAATTTAATTTTCATTATTGCTGCTGTTGCTGTTCATGTGAGCCTGTCCTTCAGGGAGCTCCTTGGCTTTGGTGGGAAGCAGGACAGAGAACCTAAGTTCCATGCATGAAAGTGTTTTAGGAGCACAGAGAACCCCAAAGAGACCAATGGATGCCCGAGTACCCCAAACAAAGATGACCACTCTGTGACTGTCGCCGCTGTAAGGGAATATGATTGGGGAGGCTCCTTGGAGGAAGCAGGTTCTGAGCCACAGGGGGCAGTGGCAAGCTGTCAGCTCTTCTCAGGGGAGACAATTGATCTCAGCAGACAAGGACGAGTGTGCCAAGGACAATGGCGGCTGCCAGCAGGAGTGTGTCAACACGTTCGGGAGCTACCTGTGCAGGTGCGGGAACGGGTACCGGCTACATGAGAACGGGCATGACTGCAAAGAGGGTGAGCTGGGGACGCTGGGCTGGCACTGGGCTGCACCCACCTCTCTGGCTGTGTGGGTGGGTGAGGGAGGGGTGTGGGTGGGAGTTGGCATGGGGAGCCACCATAGAATGCCGTGAGATCTCTGCCTGAATCTTCACTCTGGTGGCCCTCCTATGGGGCAGCAATTAACTGTCCTAGGGACAGCCAGTCAGGAGGCCCAAGATGAGTGCCTATTGCCGAATGGTTAAGCCAGTAGGCTCCAGAATCAATACACCCGATCTAAACGGTGGCTCTACCTTTCCCTAGCTAGTTAAACACTCTGAGCTTTGGTTCCTCTTTTGTGGCAAGCAGGGTAAACATGGCAAACAGACATCCTTCCTGAGGGTTTGTAAGGATTATATCCTGCCTAGGAAGTGTTTGAGACAGTCTGGCACACACGGTGTATCCTAGGTGTCGATAAATATTAAGCCCAAGTCTTGGTCATAACACGCTGCATGTAGGACTAACATTGAAAGAGAATATAAGGAATCGTGCTGACTGCCTTCAGAGCCAGCTGGCTTTGCATGTCCTGCCGTTGTGGAAGAAGCCTGCCCTTAGCGTTTGCTTTACCCACGGATGGGAGTCTGTATAGCTGAGATAAATGTAGCTTCAGGCCTTGCCCCGCCCTGGGTCAGTGCAGGATTTAGAGGATGGCAGAAGATGCGAAGACCCTATGCCTCTTTTTGTTTCTTATTAGGAGAGGGGAAAAATTAAGTGAGAGGAAGCATGAAAACCCCTTACCACAGATGAAGACAAACTCAAAGTTCTAGTCACCAAGCAAGCCATGGTACCAGTCTTGGCTAATAGTAGGTGACCTGGGCAAAGCAGGCAGGCCACGGACAAGACTGATGGGGGGAGGCATAGTGACCCAGGTACCTCTGTTGACGTTCACTGTGGTAGCACTCGCTAGTCTTTTACATGTGATATTAATCCACACGTATGAGCCTGGTACTCCCTTTTACACTTGAGGCCATGAGTGGGCTTCATCCATCAACTGTGGAACCTGTACTCTAATTGAACGTCACCTGACCCAGGGCCCGTGCTCTAACCAGGCATTAACTCGTCCATGCTCCCAGTGCCAATCTCCTAGTGGATGGCTGTAGTTACAGAAATGCCTCTCCTCCTGAGCCCTTCATAATCAGTGCCAGGTCACACCAGATCCAGGCTGCCTGTCCATACGTTGGATATTGGCCTTGAGATTCCCCCGTGACACTGGCCTGAGTTGAGCTGAATGACCCCTCTGTGTGTCCCCTTCTGACCTCCAGCTGGCTGTGCATACAAGATCAGCAGTGCAGAGGGGACCCTGATGAGCCCCAACTGGCCCGACAAATACCCCAGCCGGAAGGAATGCACCTGGAACATTTCGTCAACCGCAGGCCACAGGGTGAAAATTGTGAGTGCCTTCGTTAGTTTGCCAACGGCATGGGTTCAAGTCTCTGCTCCATATCCAGTGTGGAGTATGTCCAGGTCTCAGTTTTGCTGCTGGGAAATGGGGGAGATCCTGGGACTCTTGCAGTGGCGGCTGCTGGGCAGAGGAAGGGAGCATGCTCAGAGCCCTGTAACAGCACTGCTTTCGGTAGCATCGTGCTGTGTGGAATTCAGTTGTCTCAGGTCTCTCACAGGACAGTGCACTCTGGAAGCCGAAACAAAAACAAGAGACTTAATTTGCCCAGAAGGCTGCCAGGGGAAGGTCCCAAGTTCTCAGGTCCCCCCCACCCCCTCTCTAGAAATTTGTGAACCTCTCCAGAAGTTTCACACACGTAGGAAAGCATGTACCTTTTTTCTTACTCAAATCACTCACATAGAATAAGTACAGTTATTCATACTCCTTTGCAATCTACCTCTTTTTCAATTAACGGTGAGACCACTATGCTAATTCTTCCTTCAGTTAAAAAAGCAACAATCGCCTTGCATTTCAAGTCTCACCTGTCTTGCACAGAACAATTCGTTATTTACAAAAAAAAAAGTCTGTTCTTCAAATCCCATATCTTAGCTCCCCCACCCCTGACCTGCAGTATATGGCGTGTGAAGCAATTGGCAGCTAGGGAATCACACACACACACACACACACACACACACACACACATACACACACACACACGCACGCACGCACGCCTCAGACTATTGAGAGGCACAACCTTAGTTCATAAGATTAGATCTGACGCATGACAGAGTGTTAATAAGGGGAGAGGAGAAGAGAACAGAGAGACAGGGTGATGAGCAGGTGACAGTGGTGTCAGGGAGTTTCCTGTGGTACAAGGATTGATTAATGGGCTCCTGAGGCATCATGGGTACAGAAGGGACCCCATAGGGCAAGCTCCTTGGGCACCTCCTGTACATGACATGTGCTGCCTATGTAGACACTGCTATCTTCTGGCCTGGGTCCCCCAGAGCAGCGTGGAATCTTGAGAGACCAGCTTTGCCCTAAGCTATCATCTGCCGGAAAGACACAACATCCTTTCCTGATGATCATAAAGAACAGTGCACCCTGGGCTGGGACCTCAAACCTGCAAAGTGGGGTGCCTTAATCTGAGGTGTGTGCACACAAGAATTAGTCTGAAAAAGACACGTCCTTGGAACACAGTTGTGAGGCATGTTGACCAAAACTCGGCTTTTTGTTACTACGGAGTGTGACACACAGAGAAAACTAGTGCCCCCTGCCCACTCCGTCCTCTGGTCCAAGGCTTCACCTTGACACCACAGGAAGGCCACCAGCCAGCCAGTCATCTACGTGGCTTGAAACTGTGCAGCTCCCCAGAAAAAAACAACCAGAGACAGTCTTTGGTGGAGGGACAAGAAGAAAAGAGAACAAAGGATAGGGTAGGGTAGGGTAGGGTAGGGTAGTATAGGGTAAGGTGGGGTAGGATAGGATAGGATAGGGTAGGGTAGGGTAGGGTAGGGTAAGGTAGTATAGGGTAAGGTGGGGTAGGGTAGGATAGGATAGGGTAGGTTGTGGTTAATGGAGTGACCTGGAGGAGGTTGGCTCTAGGTCCTTTCACTCCAACTGAATAGGTTTAACCAAGCCAGTTAGAGACCTTATGACTCAGTTTCTCTTCCTGCTCACCAAGGATAACAATAGACCTCCGTAACTTCATTAGAATTTAAGTGAAAAAAAAACCTCATAATTTATTGGCGTGAAAAAACTACCCAATGAATGTCGACCACTTTGAGGTTGATGGCAGAACAGTGTGGCCCTACTCAAAGCCATTGGGATTTCAAGTGTATGGTCTTGGGTTCAGGCTAAGACCAGCGTCTCTGAAGCCACAGTTCCCAGGTTATACACCAACTCCTCCGGTGAGGATCCTGGACAAGCCATCTGATGTCTTCTAGAAGGGTACAGGGTTGCAAAGACATTTGTAAAGCCGCCAGCATGGGTGAGCCCTCAGTCCCAGCTGACTTCTAGCCTTAGAGGAGGAGGTGGGAAGAAGTAAATCCTGAGCGGTTGGCAGCCCGGTTGGCAGCCTGGCTCTGGGGATGGATGTTGCATCATCATGGCAATGGTGGGCACCCCTGCAAAGCTGGTAGACAGACGGCCCCAGGTCCTGTGTGCCCATCTCCCCCTCCCCTTCTCAGTGCCAGATCCTTACCTCACTTTCTGCTCTCCCATCTCCAGACATTCAATGAGTTTGAGATTGAGCAGCACCAGGAATGCGCCTATGACCACCTGGAACTGTACGATGGGACGGACAGCCTGGCCCCTGTCCTTGGCCGATTCTGTGGCAGTAAGAAGCCAGAGCCTGTGGTGGCTACGGGCAGCAGCCTGTTTCTCAGGTTTTACTCAGACGCCTCGGTGCAGAGAAAAGGCTTCCAGGCTGTGCACAGCACAGGTGAGGGCCGCTGTGGACACCTCACAGGCTCAGAACTGGTGAAGGACCACCCTCGGGTTGTCTGCCAGGGCGGGATGAGGAGGGTGGCATCCTCAAACGTCCCCGTTAGAAGAAACACCAGCAGCTGCCATTAGCTGGAGGTTGTTCTCTTCTGATGTCTTTAGTTGACAAAATGGGATGTGGGGGGCACTTTGTTGGTGCTGTCCCCCCTCTTCCTCGTTTCCTCCGTTTCTCCCTTTAAAAATGTGTTTGTTGTCTTGCTGGCCCGCGGAAGTGCGAAGGTCGGAGAACTGAGTGGTGGAGAGCCGCCATTTCGCCCTCAAGGGGCCACTTCTGGAAAATGTTGCTTTGCCTTGTCATTTTTTCTTCTTTTTTCCTGACACTCCAAATGTCAGTAGCTCTGCCGGGTCCTTTGGAAGAAAGTGTGTGTGCTTCCAACTTATCCACACTGTTAAATCTAAAAAAGTCAGTAAGGAAGTGGAATCTGCCCGGCCATTTCAGTCTTAGCCCTGTGGAGGAATGCAGGCCCTTAAATCCTGGCATTTAATTGTGGCAGAGCCAGAGGCTGCTCAGGAACCTGCCTGTGGCTTTTGTCTGTGGTCCTGGGCAGGAGGTTATGATGGTGGGACACTGCCATCCTTTTTAACAGCCCCTCTCCCTTTTCCTCCACCCCCTTAAGTCAGGGCTAGAACACATGACTCAGAGCAAACTGAACGGCAGCACCATGCCCAGTTCTCCCTTCTTAGGCAGACACCCCCCACTTCATGAGACCTTCTGTAGACACTGGAGGATCTATACTTCCCCCACAGTGGTTTAGAGTTACAGATGAGTGATTTCATCCTCTCGTCCTTGCAGGACAGAGAGCTGGCTCAGTGGTTCAGAGCACCGGCTGCTCTTACAGAGGACCTGGGTTCGATTTCCAGCACCCACATGGTGGCTCACAACTGTCTGTAACTCCGGTTTCAGGGGATCTGATGTCTTCTGGTGTTCACAGACACTAAAAGCACATGGCACACATAAATACAGAAAGACAAAACATCCCTACACATAGACTAAAGTAAAATAGAACATAGGTGCCCGGGGTGGGTGGGTTAGGGTCTCAGTGGGAAGTTGGAGCATACTTGGGAAATATTTGCAGAATTTAATAAAAGGAACTATTTATAGCAGGGCTTGTGGTACATAGGGATACCTCAAGGGACAGGGCAGGGTTTGAGAACCACAAGGACATAGAGTCACCCCAGCCCAGAAAGCAAATGGGAGAATGGGCAGGAAGGTACTGCAGGACAAGTGCCTAACCTGGGGTGGTGGGTGAGGGTGGTGCAGCAGGTGGAGAGGAAGACACCCTGCCCTCTCTGTGCTCCTTGTGTCTCATGAGTTGAAAGGCAGGTCAGACATGAAGAGACGGTAGTTGGAATAAGGACTCAGAGTTGGACAAGGCCGAGCCAACCCAGGCGAACAACTCCAGCTAGAATGTTAAGAATGAAATAATTTACAATCTTCTCCAGAAGTGCCTCTGCATCTCCACTGCCACCCCTCTACTGCATCCCCAACCCTGCATTCACAATCCCTTCCTGTAGAAACAGGTTTTTGTGCTGTTTGGCTCAGCTGTTTTGATGTGCTTTTATCGCCCTCTACTGGCAGACATCACAAATTACAGCCAGTGGGAACCCTTTCTCCTTCCAGTACCTCCCAAGGCTTGGAGTAATCAAATCAGTCACAACCCTACAATCAGTCAGGCAAGCCACCCACCCTTCGGCTCCTTCCCCCCCTTGGTGGAGAGAGGGCAACAGCTGGCCTTTTTCAGCGGCATTCTCGGGCCCGTTTGGATACCCCAGGGACCCCTGCCTTTTGTACCACTGCCTCGGCAGTAGGATGGTGAGGTTGCTGATTTAACCTCTCCTGTGATTGGAAGTGGTGGGCTGCCACTCAGGCTCTGGGCGACCACGGAAAGAATGACTCTTTGCTGTCTCTACTGCAGAGTGCGGGGGCAGATTGAAGGCCGAAGTGCAGACCAAAGAGCTCTATTCTCATGCCCAGTTTGGGGACAACAACTACCCGAGCCAGGCCCACTGTGACTGGGTAATAATGGCCGAGGACGGCTACGGAGTGGAGCTGGTATTCCGGACCTTTGAAGTCGAGGAGGAGGCAGACTGTGGTTATGACTACATGGAGGCCTACGATGGTTACGACAGCTCGGCGCCCAGGCTTGGCCGCTTCTGCGGCTCAGGGGTGAGTCTGAGGGTTGCCCAGGCTACCTCCTGATGGCATGCCTAGCTGGAATCCTGCCACTGTGAGCCACATCCAGAGTCCGTTTTTCTGTGGCAGAGTAGAAAGGAGAATCCCCAGAGACAGTTGGGGAGGCAGCCAGGGAACATCATGCAAAGAAGACTAGCCTTTCTCACGTCGCCTCTGTTTTTGAGTCCTCTCCCTCACTTTTATTTGGCCCTTGGGTTTTATTACTTCTTTGTGTTTATCTATATTTGCACTTCTTATCATAAGCAAAACCAAGAGTCTATGAGGATCACAAATTATTCCTGGTATAAACACAATGTTTACATTCAAGGTCATTACTTTCCTCTTTATTACCCACTTCCTGGGCTCACTATATTGCTGGTACCCGACTCACAGTAGACATGTAGTCTGGGCTCACTGGGTGTAGGAACAAGTGAGTACAATGTCCTAGCCATCCCCCAGCGGCACCACATGACACCCTGTCTGTCCTGGGCTTCAGCCCTTGTCTCTGCTGATCGCCCATGCTTCTTTGCCTGGGCTTACGCAAACCATCTTGGAATTACCACTGCTCCTGGTGCAAAACAGATATTCAGCCTGGTGTTCCTGTCCCTGAATGGTTATCCTTCTGCCTTTCCTTGTCCTCCTCAAAAGAAAGAACAACCGGGTGAGACCTCCACCTTTGATAAAATTTCTGGAACCAAGGAGTCCATGGAGAGGAGCCCCTTGGAGATCTTAATTAGCCAGAAGTTCCCTTTGGCATCCCTAGGATCTGGGCAGGCAGTGGCCTTGGCATCTGGCTCTAATGCCATTCCAGATGACCTGTCACAAGTCTCTTGACAAGCATAGCAGCTCCACCCACTTGTTGGCCGTGACATAATGTAGACCTGAACAATGGTCTCCGCTCCAGGTTTCCTGGCAGATACATCACAGCGTTAAAAATCACAGAGCAGGAGGGGCCACAGAGCCAGCTTCACAGTCAGAAATGCCTGAGTGTGGATCCTGCTGACCTCTGTGATGCGGCATCCGTACACGTACCTGCCTTATTACATACTTGTGAAGTTGGCATTGGATGAGATCCAGATGTGGTTAGCACAGTGTCAGGCCTGCCTGTGCCCTGGTAGCACATAGATGCTGTATGTGCTACGTGTCTAGGCTCAGCTATGTAAAGCAGGGCTCAAGGGATCTTCCTTGACAAGTATTGAGCTGTCATAGATTGGGAGCCACCTTTTTGGGGTAACTACTGTTGTAATCCTTGCTGTGGCAGGTCCCTACGTTCCAGGGTAGGGGCGTGAGGATTAGAAAAGTAGGAGGAACAGAAAGAATAAGAAATAAGAAAGAAACATAGAGACATAGGATAGTATCAGAGGACAGCTCAGTGCAAGCTACATGCTGAGTTCTGAGTCTGCCCATGTTTAATTTTCTATACACTTTTATGCCCCAATACAATGGGGAAGGGTCCGGGGAGAAGACAAAAGACTGCTTTAACATGATACAAAGGACAACTAGAACAGTTGCTTGATTCAATACTTGAGACATCAAGCCATTAATTCTTGAGAAAAGCATTCTCTAGTTTAGGCAGTGAACCTGCCCTAGACCAAGGATCCTGAAGGCAGCTACTCCCTAGGTCAAACCTTATAATACAAAAGAAGAAGCAAAAATATGCTTGAATTCTCTGACTTTTGGCCAGGGTGGAAAGGATATTCCTCTATGGGCCATCTTAATGTCCAAAACACCAATTAACCCCACACTAGGTCAGGGTGCGTAGCCACAGTTGTCGACAACTTTGAGCAACCTGAAACTCTCTGACCTTGAGACGAGGTGGAATAGGATCACATTTTTGGACCTCCACAGACAAGGAGCCTGCTTAAATGCCCACCAGAGCTTCTGGTGACCTCCTGGCAGCCATAGCCACCGTTGGGCACCATCTCAGTACACCCTCCTCTACTTGCCAACGATAAGAGACTGGCCTAAAATCTAACTTGCCTTTTTCTTGTCCTCAGCCATTAGAGGAAATCTACTCTGCAGGGGATTCTCTGATGATCCGGTTCCACACAGACGACACCATCAACAAGAAAGGCTTTCACGCCCAATACACCAGCACCAAGTTCCAGGATGCCCTGCACATGAGGAAATAGCGTCCGGGTCCTGGGAAGACAGAGTCTAGGGATGCTTTAAACACCTGGGAATGAGTAGCCCCCAGTGTACAGTATTTTTCTCAACAGCAAACACTCAAACTACGTCCTTGAAACTATATATCTGGGTGAAAGTACCTGCCTTTGGCCTCCAGGAAGAGAACCAGTGTCCTGTTGGTTCCGGCTGCAGTGTTCGGAACTGCGGCTTCTAAGGAGGTTAAAATTTGAAGTTAGCAACCAAGCTAGCTGTACTTCTTCATACTTGTTCTCCAACCCTTGCTCCCATGGGGCAAAAGGCCGGCCTGGGCTACCCCCTCCTCAACTCTGGACTGGCTTCCCTAGGTGACAGGCATCATGAGCCTACTCTGATGACGTGGTTGCCTCCTATCAGCACTGGGCATCGAGGATAAAAGCGTGGCAGTAGCTAAATTGTTCCAAGAGTTGCTGAAAGATTTTACTTAGCCCTTCCAGAGTCAAGCCAATCAGGAAACATGAGGCTACAAACACAAGAGTTAAAGAGGCATCCCAGTGCACACACAGAGAGAGGAGGCTTAGCCTGGGAACCAGCATCATGGATTTGGAAGACCTCATGTCTTTCCCTGCCATTGGCCATCCTTGCCTCCTCTAGGGTGCTCCTATCATTAATCTCCATTCACAAGAGAGAATCCGTGGCCACTCCCAGGAGAATGCTCTCTAGCGAGCACCCCAGGTTGCTGAGATGGCACTCAGAGGCTGAGAGGATATCACCTATGCTGGGGTTTCCGCTGGCTTCCAAGCACCCCCAACTGTGGAGGTACCTGCTCTAGTGAGCCTCGACCCTTGGACAGCCCATTCAAACAGCATCCACAAGACTTGCCAAAGTCATCTCAGGAACAATCTAGGTCTCGTTAGGTGAAAACTAGTAATTCCAAGTTATGTAAGTGTCGCCGTCTTCTGGAACAAGTCAGTCTGTGGCGCACTTCGTGTCGCCCGACAGGTTAAAGAGTGCACTGGCAACCTTGCCGCCATTAAGCGGGATGCGGCCATCAACCTGTGAGCAGGATTCTCAACACTCCAGCCCTTGTTCTAGAGAAGTGTAGAGGGTGATGTTTACAGAATTCTAGCACCTCAAGGTATAATTGAACTAGTGAGGTAGTTTTGAATGGCATTTCATTAAGGCACCTCTGGGCATTATGAGCTAAGAGCTGTGGTATGTTAGCTTTACAAGAGCATTCATGTTGGAATACTTTCAAACTATTGTTTACATAACTGCAAGTCCTGTTGGGTTGGTGGTATACACAGGGCGGCACAAGGAGAGTGATTCCGTTAGAGAGGGCGTAGCTCCCGAGCACCAAAATCCCTTTACGATGGGCCACCATTTTAAACAAAGTGTTTGTGAAATCTGAAGGTTTCTCTTTCTTAAAGAGGTCGCAATATTACAATCTGATACCCAATTGAGAGATTGCTGGGAGCAAAAACTAGAATGAAACAAAGACAGGGGAAAGAAACGCTTGGGGGTATTTTGTTCTTAAACCCGAAAAAAAAATCAAAGTATTATTATTATTAATAATAATGTATGTCTGTATATATGTATCTATGTATGTAAGGATCAGCTATCCAAGCCTTAATCAGGGCAGCATGACAGTGCCGAGGCACTGGCTGTGGCTTGTCATCAAATCTGGTGCTGGCCCCACACATTACCCTCTCCCTTCGAAACCGAGAGCTTCTCTTGACCCTGAACCGAGGCTCGGCCTCCATCCTCACGTCTTGATTATTGTACCCACCCAGGGAGAGTTTTATCCATTGCAAAAGAGACAGCTTATCCCATTGTTCTGGACCCATCAGCCCACTGTGGTAGATTCCACTTCTCTAGTGCGAGTGTGTGTGTGTGTGTGTGTGTGTGTAGGTTTTATTATTTTTGTCTCATTTTGTCTATCAAGGGTGGAACAGAAATCAGGATGCATAAGGTGTCTGTCACCAACCTCATTCCACAGAGATAAAAATTCTGTGTTTTTAACCTTTAGAAGTCTAAATGAGATTGACAAACTCCATGAAAAATGGGAGTCGGGGAGAGAGAGGGTTTGTCGCCTTGGTGACACGCTGATAATTCTTTTAGTGTGAGTGATTTCACAAGTGCATAGCTTCAGCAGAGGCCGACTTAGAACAATGCGGCTCTCATGGAAGCCCTGGTGTAGGCCTGTGAGTGACAGAGTCCCAGAAGACAGTCTCTGACTCAACAAGGGCTGTTGGGGGCCCCTTCTCTGGAAGTTGACACCCACAGAAATCCACACATGACACAGGTCCTGCAAAGAACCATAGGCCAGCTTCCAAGAATGGTTTACTCTGCAGAAGGACCCAGGTGCCCCCACTTTGGCCCTTCTGATTGCTCAGTGGCCTTGCTGAAAATGTCCCTGGGTATGCGTGAATAAAGGGGCTCGAGGATAATCCTTTAGTTTGCTGTCCATTTATCTGGGACCAAGCCTGTGGGTGTCATGGAGCTCTAAGACCCAACAACTGCCTCTGCGATGAATGACCTAAGGAAGTATATGGAACGTGGGTCTCTGGCACTAATTCTAGTGTACTCTGAATTAGCAGAAGCTAGAACCTGCACCTCAGGGTGGAAGACTCCAAACAGCTGAGATGAGGCTATGCATTGAGTCACTATTTTCTCTAAAGTTTTTCTCTCAGAGGTCCCCATTACACAGTCATGGTATCCATAAGTTACTCAGCCTGTTTAGATAATTCTCCAAACACAGGTATCCAGAAAATTCACCTAAGAGCAAGCTGTCAGTTTGGCCCCTTTGCAGCTCTTTGGAGTTCTTGGTATTGTTCATGGAGTTTGGGAAGAGATGGTCCTTCAGCATCCATGGATGTTTTTGAAGTTTGCTTTGAGGATTGTGATCAAACTTCTGATCAATTACCCTGAAAATCTAAAATTTTTTTAAAGTGTTATCCATACATATAAGGGTATTTTTTATTTTGAGTAACTTTACATTTCATGTAAAATGTCAGATGGCAAGAACATGGGGAGATGGTAATTCATGTCTAAAAATGATGGTTTCATTAAAAAATGTGGATTTGCCTCTGTGTTCTGAGTTTGTGTTACTGGTTCAGATAACATTGACCTTTTAAAAATATATATTTATTTTTATTCTGTGTTTGAGTGTTTGCCTACATGTATGTATCTATGTGTACTATGTATGTGCCTGATATCATCGGAGGTCAGAAGAAGACATATGATTCCCTGGAACCAGAATTACAGAGATAGATGAATCACCATGTAGGTAATGGGAACTGAACCCAGGTCCTTGTCTAGAGCAGCCAATGCTCTTAACTGTTGAGCCACCTCTCCAGTCTCCGCTACTGACAGTTTAGAGAACATTTGGAAAAATCAGAACAAGTCCACTATGATAGTATTTTTGGACTACACATGAATACAGTGAAACCCTGACCCCAGTGTGATATCAGGGGGAGAGCCAAACCCTGACCCCCATATGATATTAGGAAGAGAGCCAAACCCTGACCCCCGTGTGATATCAGGGGGAGAGCCAAATCCTGGCCCCAGTGTGATAATATTTGGAGGTGAGCCAAAACCTGACCCCAGTGTGATAATATTTGGAAGTGAGCCAAAACCTGGCCCCAGTGTGATAATATTTGGAGGTGAGCCAAAACCTGGCCCCAGAGTGATAATATTTGGGGGTGAGCCTTTATGTAAAGACAACTCCCTTTCTCTGTTACCATGAGAGCAAAGCAAGGACAAGGCTGTCCATGAACCAGACATGAACCCTTTTCACACATCAACATTGCTGGGACCTTGATCTTGGACTTAACAGGTACCAGAAACGTGAATAGGCACCCTGTTGCTTAGAAGACACACTGCATATGGGATTTTTTTTCAATCTAGGCAGCCACTTAGCATTTTGACAGAGACAACTTTTTAAGATGACCAAGCTCTTGCCTAGCAAATCATCAGTGTGACTGGGCATGTCTAAATTTAAGGGAAATATAAATGGTTGGAGAATCAGAGTTCAAGTCCCCAAACTCTCACCCACGAAGGACATTCCTTCTGCTATTTCTAAGGGGATGCTCCTTAGGCCCAACACAGAAAACCCCAAACTTAACAACAGTTACATGGAACAGTTTTGCGGGGGAGGGGGAGGGACCTTTACAATGGTATAAAAATGATAGGCATTTGGTAGAAACTGTGCTTCCAAATTTTCATTTTTGACTGAGCAAGCAATGCGTGGTGAGATAATCTTGTGGCACCATGAGGTCACAAGTGGCAGCAAGATGTCACTGCACCGGTGTTGCTAAGCTGTGAGTTTGGGGGGTTGGATGTGTTCCATGTGTTTTTGACTTAAGCTGTTTCCAGCTTACTGTTGGGCATAGAACTGCCTTGTAGATTAAGGAGTGTCTGTAGGCCCAGAGGAGGGGAGCCTGCTGACCTCACTCATCCTCTTTCCTTGGTAGAACACATTCAGTACACTTGAAACACATTTAATGCACTGGGCATTGGAGGGACCTGCGCTGGGAGAGAGAGTCCATCAGTTGGCAAAAGGGCGGAGACACTTTGGAACACACATTCCTAAGGACATACTCAGAGGACCATCAGAAATTGCTGTTGTCGAAACCTTAGGAGCCACCCCACTGTCTCCAGGGCCCATTCCTTGGCTCTCTCTCCCCTACATGCTCCACTACATTTGATCCATGATGACCGATGCACGGTGTTTACAGTGAAGCACCACTTAACCGAAGGTGCCAACCATTCCTCCAAAGAGACGGCATGCCCATCAGACAGAGTTGGGGATCTGTGAGTATATAACGGAAAGAATCAGGAAGATCCTAGTGGCCTTGTGCATCCATAGCCAAGCCACAGGGCATGAACCAAGGCTGTTGGTAAAGTTCTCGTGCCCACCTATAATTCTGTTTTACAAGAAAATCTAGCGCCTGGCTTGGAGGCTTGGAACAGGTGTAGTGATTAACCTTCCAGTCTACAGATTCCGAGGTGGAGGCTGGGTGAGCGCTCTCAGCTCTTACAGAAGCCGTGGTGGCTTTATGTGTGGGTCTCACTGTGTTGACTTGGTGACTTCTAAGTACCATTATATTTAGTTTAGTCACTGTGTGCTGTGGAATAATCTTTCTGTACACTGTGAAGATCTGTCTCTGCTTAAGGTTCCTTCTGATTTAATAAAGAGCTGAATGGCCAATAGCTAGA